ATACCATAGTCAAATTTGATCATTAATTTTTACAACACATTTTTCAAGTTCCAGGGTAAGGCGGGCATTCTCTGATTTACTAATTGTAAAATGTTTTTCCTGGCAGATGAAGGAACATATGAATTTCAGCTTCAATTTTAGTATGACCTACCTTTTTTCTTTTTCAATAATTTGTTCTACTATTCTCTGTGTTAGTATTTTAGCCACCGATACCATTTACCTTTTATCTTAGATTTTAGACAGATTTTAATTTATTGCTTTACTTCTTTAGCCTCAAACCAAAGCTCTTCTTTTGAAAACTATTTGAATTTGTGGACACATCTCCCTTTCCCCTGCCTTTCTTATACATTAACAGAAAGTTTACTTTATCCTTTTTTTATCCTTTATCTATTTGCTATGTAAGGGGATATTTCTTGTTTTTTATTTCTTACTCCTATCTTCTAAAAGCATCAGTAAATCTATCCTCTGTTGAATCTCTTGCCTGATCAAAGCCTTCAGAAATGGTAATGCTAGTCTGCTCCTCAAGTCATCTCTCCCTTAGCAAAAGAGGGGTTATACTTGTAGAATTAACTACTGGATAAATGAACTTTTGGAGTCCTAAGTCTTAGAGTTTTTTATTAAGAGTTTTCTTTCAGCCTCAGAGTCATTAGAAAATTCTTTCTGTTTTTTTGGGGGTTTTGTTTGTTTGTTTTTATCTAGCTACTACAATTAGTACATCTCTTTTCACATGTATCCAATTAGTGAGTTCTGTTGATGTGAAATTCTTGACAAATTTTTATGCCTATTATGACTGGGTTTTTTTGACTTTATTCTTGTGTTATTTTAATAAACTCTATGCTTTTCAATTTTTCATTTCACTATGAAACTCCCTGACTTTTTCATTAGATTTAGTCCCAACTTGCATCTATTTTGCCTCTATTATCTATGAAGAATTTCATCCAGTCTTTGCTTCTCCTATCACAGCGACTCACTTATCTTTGTCCAGCTTTAAAAGGGAGTATATGCCCTTTTTACACTTATTGCTGCATTTTATGGTGATGTTTATCTTCTAAGGTTTAAGTATATAGTTTTACTCCTATTTTTTTTCACACTAGATGTATCTCTAAAAATAAATTAAATACATAACTTGATGGATGATATGTAACAGCCCAAAGCTGTAGTAATACAAACATATTTACTCTCTAAATCAGGAGGGCAAACTTAAACTGACTGCTGGGAAAGATGCCTGGCTATGATCATAATTCATGGACCATCCATAGGAATTTTTGGAGAGACTGATTGTCATCAAAGGTCAGAAGCATACTTGGAGCCATTTTAACAACTAGCAGTGGAGCTGATTGCCTTTCAGTGCCTAGGAATATTTTTTATGCTGTAGGGTTTTGGCATTTTGTATTTGTGGATCTATTGGGTTTTGCTGGGTGGGTTGGGGAGTTTAATTCTGTTTTGAGCTGTGGGCTTGGTGGGGGTTTTTTAAATTATTTTTATTAAGATAGATTAAGAAATATCTGCTTTCTTGGTAACCCCAGTAAATGTAGCTCCACAATTTGATTGGTTGACTAGCCTGTGAAGTGTCAATTTTAGTTATGCACTGCCTGTTTAACCTGCACACTGTTTGACCTAAACATTGGTAACTTTAGTTCTGTATTATATCCAGAACTTCAATATGCTGTTCATCTTTCATCAGTTGAATGAGTTAGAGTAATTTCCTTCTGTATGCTTTCCAAGTTCTGCTTTCATCTTCCTTAGCTATAGGTGGCTAAATGAAATCTAATCTTAATTAAGAGCCTGAAATCCCATAATATTCTATTGATATTAAACTCTGGAGGATGATACTGTAGCGGTGGTTAACGCTAAGAAATTGAGAGGATTATAGATAAAATTCCTATCATATAAAATAGAAACTTGAATTTTAATTAAATGTTAGGAATAAACTTGTCTTTGAGATTTTACTTGTAAATCTATTGAAACTCCTGTACAGATCCATACACAATGAGGGGGAAAAAGGAGCTGACATGTTTAAAGTCAGCTTTTTAGAAGACTCTATAACAGGCCTGTGAAGATTTTTTCTTCAAGAGCTGCTCCTTTTGACAGCATCACCTATTCTGCTTTAAGCAAACCTCTGCGGGGTACATTGCCATCAATGCAAAAAAATTAGATCCATGACTATCTTTCTCAATCCATTAGATTAAGCTCATTGCTATAAATTGTCTCACATCTTAAAGAAATTGCATAAATTGTTGTCTTTATCTTGAAAAAATAGCACATCTGATACCTTAACATGACTTTGCTAGGAAGAAAGAATGTCCCATTTCCTCACATCTGCTCATGTACTGTAAAAATTAAAAAGAATAAGGCAGTCCAAATAGGAGTGGAGACAGTGCAGGAGCTTCATGGTGATGTTTGGCAAACGTCTCTGTCCAGAATTTGACTGGATTCTATACTAAGCACTTGGTTTTCTTAAAAGAACAGAAAAAAAACATATGACTCGGGAGCTGGGTTGTTTTCATCTACTTAATATTCACATAATTTAAAAGAAGTAAGGTGCAACTAATCAAATCAAATCATCTGTTACAGATAATTTCCTTGGGAATTCAGCAATCAAGACCACTTTTAAATTACTGCCGAAATTATCAGTGCTAGTAATTTCATTATACATATCTAATCAATGCTTCATAAAAAGTGTATAAGAATGCTATGTGAATTCTTAGGTAGATAAGATAATATCTTTCTGGTGAGAGCCTATGCTATGAAAAGTAGTATTTGTTTACCATGTCAGTATTTCTAATAGTGAACTGAAACATAAGACACAACAAAGAAGGAACTGGAAGATACAGAAGAACTTAAGGTTTTTGCGAAGTTAAATAAGTTTTGCTAATGTTGCATATATACATATGCATATATATATATATGTATACATATATATATGCATACACATAGTTTGTACTTTATAAATATTCATATGACTTACTTAATAAGTAGAAAAGACTTCCAACTGTATTCCAGCCACACCTTCCATACCTTCTGGCTAACTTCTTAAAGTAATAACAGATCATCTGTAGAGTGAGTCCACCATGTCCACCATCATTCATGCTAAAATATTTAAATTAACTAAAAAAATAACTGACACTCAGTTTGCATATCTGAAAGGGGTACCTATCTCCTTGTTAGGATATTTTGTGATATTTTTGATATTATCTCCTTTTTAGGACAATTTGTGATATTTTTGGATACACCAATAAATATCAAAGAACACCTGTAAAATTAAATGGAAAAAAATTAGGACTTACTATCGCATTCCTTTAATTTATGCTTAAAAAAAAAAAAAGTAATATCATAGCAGCAGTTGATGAAATGTAGTTCAAAGAGAAAAATATTCTGAAATCCTTTCTCTGCTAGACATGAAGTTTTGTGACTGCACTTGCTATAACAAAGGATTACAACAAATAACAATAGCTTTGCTGTGTTGTTCTTCTGTGAGTACAAAAGTGTCAGAAAGCTTGAAAGAGTGAAAAGCTTGAAAGTCTTGACATTTTAGTAATTTTTAAAAAAAAAATCTGGCAGCAACAAGTAAATCTTTGTGTTATGGTTGGTTTGTGCCTGCTGCTAAACACAGCATATCAAGGGGTACAAGGGCACTGTAAATAACACGGAGGAGAACACAAGCTCTCAATCACAGCATCCAGCTACATTTTAAGTATTGTAACTGGCTGTGAAAGACAGAAGTGTGACATCTTAAGGTGATAGTACTCTTCCAAGTTCTATGAAAGTGGAATAAACAAGAAGAAACAACAGAAAAAAAGGTGTTTCCTATCTACTGCTTTACTGCTGTCAACAGACTTTCTACACAGGGTTTTGGAAATCAAACAAGGAGTTTGGAAATTAAAGAAGGCGAGTTTTCATACAACAGATAGAATTAAATTCTTACAAAAAAGGAAGAAAAATATTTTTTATGTATTCATACACATCTAAATGTGTATGAATAATACACATAAAATTATAATAATATTATATATGAAAATATGTGAATATTTTCAAACATATTATAAATATAAATCATATCCTAAATTTATTTTTTTATTTATTACCCTGTAGGCCTTTTTTAGTAGATACAGTAATGTTATATACCATGGAACTATGATTTTAAGTAATATTAAATAATACCATTATATCAAATGTACTTTAAGAAGTAAATTATATATAACTGGCTTGTCAGATTTGGGTTAAATGTTACCAGTTTAAGAATTAGACATAACAGCCCCCAAAGTTTTCACACAAATTTTTAGAGAAGATTAATCCAGAGTATTAATAGGGAAGAAACTACACAATAAAGGGCTGTCTTGGAAATCATCATATTTTATATGAGATTACAGAATTAATTACAGGAGAGCAAGAGAGATTGCTCAAATTCTTTTCTCAATACCTATAGATGGGGAAAGATTTTGCTTAGAAATCTCTTCAAAATCTTACAACAGACACCAATATATTTTGATATACACAGCTGGAAAAGTCACTATTAGGAATAGATACTATATAGTGACAATATATTATTATTGTCCGTTTGTACACACTGGTACAAATTTGTACACTGGTAAGCTGTTAAATTTGCTGACAAATCACAAATATCTTTCCAGTCAGAAAGGACTCCAGAGAGAAAACTGCGCCTGTAGTCTTCACAGATTCACACACCCCAGCAAACATAAGATCTTGAATCCGTGGCAAACTGACCGGATGAGAGGAAAGGTCACCAAGGTGCAGAACCCAGAACAAGTTTTTTAAAAAAAGGTCTAAAGCAGCAAGTATTGCAATTTTTGGGAAAGCTTCTTATACAAAGTAAACCACCCCAATAAATCTTAAGATATTAAAAAATGCAACAAAAATAACGAAATAACCAGCAAGACCTTTTAGGTTCACTTTATATACTGGCCTATGTCTTCTGATTTTTGCAAGTACTGAACTGTCCAAAGAAATGTCTTGGAATACTGGCTTGCTAAGTTATGAGAAAAAAGAAAGAATGTAGCTCTTGATCAGGTTTATTTTATTAACATAAAACTTTATAATAAGCACAGATGACTTGCCAATTCTTCGAATTTGGCAGGGAGTACTTCAAAAATAAGCACAGGATTTACCCAGCTCACTGGTCTGTCATGTCCAATTTCTTGCCTCTGGCAACTGAAAGTTCTTGATCCCTCAAAGTAAGAATAAAAATAATTATGATGCACCTACACAAATCAGCAACATTTCACCCACTATTGTCCCCTTGGAAGAGTGGTTTTATATAAGGAATGGGAATTTATTACTGTATTTGAACATGCTTTTACTATCAGCTGCCAAAATACCAGCAGATTACAGCTCCTTCTTTTGTGTCCTCTGGGAGATCAGCAGGGCTGTTGCACAAATACAGAGCCAGCAGTAAAATGGGGATAATCTAGTTCTGCATATGAAACATGCATGAAATATTTGTAAAGATCTATGCTTGTCCTGCTGGCTTCATTTTTAAAGTAACAAGCTGGTTGTAGCAGATATATGTAGATCAGTGCATTAACTTATTTCTGCTAACTGTCCAGGAATGTGGCTTCTGTGATTTCAGGCAGAAGTGGCTGCTGCAGTCACTTTATTCTTTTTTTCCACACGGCTCTTACAAGAATAATTCCTCACCATCATAAGGACGCTGCTTGGATCCAGTACATTTCTTGGATTAACAGCACTGAAGCAGAAAGGAACATTTCATACCACAGAAAACCTGAGATGTAGCATTAAAATGAATTTTAGGATTTCAAATAATAGTTGTTAAAGCTGCAGCAATTTCGGAATGAGTGACGGATGGTGAACTACATCATTTGCAGCCATTGTGGTAATAAGTGATGGTTTCCTGCACTTTGAATATACACTGCAGAAAATCATGTTATCAGGTGAACCAAAAAAATATGGCTCCTATAGCAGCTGCTGTTTGCTAGGGAAAAAAGATAGAGCATGCCATTAATTTAATTATGGTTTGTTGAGAATCACAACAATCTACCTATTTTTCTGGCCAGAGAGCTGCAATTGCAGAGGCCCAGTACTCCACTGAATGCATCTAGAAACGTTGAGTGGTACTATCTGTTGAAATCATAAAAGGAACTATTTCTAGTGCACAAAAATTTGAACTCATGATTTTTGAGGATTGCAAATGATATATTTCACAGGAGAACTCATTTTTAAGTTGTTGATGGATTCAGAGAGCTGGTGACAGCAGCAAGGGCAGAGAGCCACAGCCCTGCCATGCACAGCCCCTGCTGCCCACCCAGCCTCTCCCCTCACCTCACCAGCTGGAGTCCCATGCCCCCAGGAGCAAGGGAGCAGCCCTCCTGCTTCAGAGCAGGGGCTCCAGGCTCTGCACAGACTGTTTCAGTGTCATAGATAGTGGGAAAGCTGCCAGTATCAGGCCAGTTCCCAGAAATGGCAGCTGGCCAGGAGCTGGTGTGGCATTGAGGGAGTGACCTAGGGTGGCTTCATCATGCGCACATTAATAAAAACTGCTGATTTTCCTACTGTACTCGCCTGTGCCTGGTCCATCCTGGGAGCAAGTTGGATGCAGGCAAGGCATCAGAGATTTGAAGCTTGGTGACTGTGTGGTCACTGTCCACCAACTACCACTTCACCCACGACACTCTCTCTGGGAACAAGCCACAAATTTCAGAGTGTATGTCTCCAATTTGGCTCCCTGAGTATCTGTACCAAATTTTTTCACATCAGTGTTTTAGGAATCTCCTGGACCTATTTGTACCAACTGTGTAGTTAGCATCTGTCAAATTGAATTTCCCCACAAGGAAAAGATGGCTTATTCAAAGGTGTCCCTTGGTTCCTTAAAGAATAATTTGTTGTCATCCTGGCTGGGTGGCCAATAGCAAACTCCCATGATGACACTCACTTCATTTGTTTGTCCCTCTATCCTTGCCCAGAGGTTCTCATCTGTGACATCACCAACTGCAGCTCTGGACATTCCAGACCTTCCACTACATCCAACACTCACAGGAGTGTCCTGCACACTCACACACCTTGACTGGAAGCTGCACACTTGCAGCAGTGCCTTTCACACCCTCACAGCAGGGCACTGCACGCCCACATGCTACAGCTGTGCAGCTCCTCTCACAGCGGTGCCGTGCACACTCGCACACTGCAATGCAGCCATGAATGTTTGTGCGCTCCCAGTTGTGCCCTGCTGGGACACCACTGATCCATTACCCAATTGCTCTTTTCTGCCTGGCTTCTTTTTTGCTTGTTTCTTTCTTCAGGGTTGGTTGATTTGTTGATTAGGATGGTGGGTTTTCAGGAGTATTTTTGGGGGTTGGACCTTTAGGATTTTGCAAACATTTCATATCAGTGTTTTCCCTCTGTAAATTTTGATCTGTTTAAGACACATGTCTCAAAAGTATGAGCTCCCTCTAAAATATTTTTCACTTTCTCAGCTGACTCAGGTCTACAGACTCTTCCACAGCTTATCAGTTTTCTTCCCCTCCTACCCCTCCCCTCCTGCCTCTTGGAGAGCTTCAGAAAACCTGCTAAGGATAATCTTTATAGAAAAGAATTACCGACTGTCAGTCTAATCACACTGATCACAACAAATCACCATTGTCCCCCACAGTTTCACATAACTCAGAACTGCAATGCAGTCAATGATTTCTGTGCTTGTAAAGCAGCAGTACCTAATTAGAAAACTGATAGAAAGTAGCTTTCAGTTAAACATAATTAGCCTTGCCAATGCATTTCAGTGCTTTCAGAAAATTAAGTTATACTTTCCAAAATTTTTGATTAAAACCCTAAGTTGTTGGGGAAAAAAATACAGGTTTATATGATGGCTGGTTTTAAGGTAAACTTATTCATAATATTTTATTTGAATATATTCATATTGAATTAGTAAATCCTTAGGGAGAATCAACACAAAGTGTAAATACATATTGTGATGTGCTAAATTAATACTGAAAGCTCTACAAAGTATAGCACTAAAATATGAAAAGTTCCTAAACTTCTGAATGGAGAGAGATAAAAGAAGTATGAAACAAATTCAGCTGTTTAAATTTCATTGCTACTTCAAAAAAATGTAATGACATCCAGAAAAATTAAATTTCTTATAAAAACACTGTAATACTTCTCAAACACTGATCAATGTAATTAGAATTTGTAACATGTGGATAACTGCCCCATAGATATTAAAAAAAACCCCTCAAACAGATTAAAAGACTCTTGACTGCCTGTCTGAAAGTGCCACATATGACTCTTTCCAAGAGTTGTCCTAAGGAAAATGGTAAAAATTAATATTAGGTTTTAAGTTGATTCCTCTCTCTCTCTGGCTGGCCGTTTTTTGGAAACACATCTTCAAAAAGACACAACCTAGAAAAAAACAGGGTTTTTTTTTTTTTTTACCTTTAGGGAAGAATCACATTTTAAATTTTGCATTTTATGAGAGAAAGGGAGAGTACAACAGAATAGTTCTGTAGATGAGACGCCATTAGAAGAATTAAAATTACATAATGCTACACTCAGATTGATATAGAATTTACTTTCCTTCTTGGGATTGAAATAGTAAAATAAAAGTGCTAATATGTGACTTGAAAAAAACACAGGAATTTTTTTTTGTCGTTGCTTTTTCCTGTTGTGGTTTTTAGTTAGTTTGTTTCTGTAACCCTAATTTCAGTTGCAATTGCAAATAGTATTAAAAGGACTGTGTAATACTGGAAAAATGTAATGATGATAAGATTCATATATGATAAAACTGAATTATAATATGTTTAAAAAATTCTGAATTTTCATTAGGAAGTTGTTCTTGCATAGACTCTATATGTAGTATTGGCCTGTAGAAAATCTGGTGGTTTTACAGTTTGTTAAGATCAGTATTCTTTTTTAGCCTCCACCCAGGCATGAAACAAGATTAAAAAAAAAAAAAATCTCAATATATGCAATTATGGTTTAAACAAAATGATGCTGAAAACAGTATGATTATTTCTACCCATTTCAATAGTCTGAGGATCAGTCCTTACCTAATACCTTTGCTTAAATGTAATTATTTGTCCTGATTTTCTTCTCCTGAAAGTTTAAAGATCATATTAAAATAATTCTAGTCCAAAGTACATAATAATCCTTCTATTTTAATTAATTAAATATAGTTAAATAATTTTTACCTGAGTTAGGGCTACCAAATCTATATTTTTCATGTTTATTTCAGGGAAAATCATCTCAAGTCACCTATTTTAATGCAAATCAGGACAGATGAAGCTTATTCATCTCTCATAATGACATAAAATTAGCTGGCAATAAATGAACCATACATAAGTATTACTATTAGCACTCTAATAAATAAAATGCAACCCTTGACATTTAAAAAATGTAAAAAACACTTTTCTGAACACCCTTCAACACTGAACACCTTTCAAAAATTAATCTCATAACATTCTACTGTTTCTTTGTCCCCTTCCCACGCCCCCATATTTAGTTATATCATATGACCCAGAAGTGAAGATACTACTGAAAATAGAGGTCCAGCTCATGCTTCCCACATCTCTGAAGACAGGACACAGCTACAATTTTAGTAGCTCAGGGTTATGGAGAGCTTTGATAGAGGCTCATCCTACGATAGAATTGAACAAAATGACACATTTTCCACAAAATGCAAAACATTTTGCCACAAGCAGTAGTATTAACAAGCCCATCTCGTTTCCTGAGCATGTACTTATTGTGTGAATATGCCCAGTTCAGTTATTTACACATTGGGGTCTTGTGCCATTTGTAATGTCCCGGGATATCTTGCTCAGCTTCCAGGTTCTGCTCTTTAATAAGTGTATTAAGGTCTCTCAGACTCTGTGCCATGTCTGCCAATGTCACTCAGATACCCTTTGATAATGGTGGCACTAGATGTGTATGCCTGTGTCACTAGACACCCAAACCATAGCATTTACACCCTATTTAGCATTAACACCTGATTATTTAGCACATATCTGTTCTTCCACCTGTTTTCAGTCACCCTGGTATTTTTCTTATTATACCATCTACAATCATTTATGCTTGTTATTTTTAAAGAATACCAACTCTATACAGCTTTCTGTTGCTTTCCTCTATGGGTGCCTTTGGATACTGTTTTGATTAGCCTCTATCACATAGGATCTGAGAATAAGGTAACCCTTAGAGAAATGACTAACTTCAAAAAGTCATCATCCACTTTATACCATTTCTAAAGAAGAAAAAGAATTTCCATTGTGCAAAGGAAATTACTTGAAAGCTGTTTTCACTGTATCAAGATGGGATCTTTTAGTTTTGAACTTTATCCTGCTTTATTTTTGTCACTCCTATTAAATGGATTGGAAAAAAATGGGAAAATATTGATTGAAAACTCCATTCTGTCCTTTACCACAAATCACAGTCTCTCACATCTATAAGCCTTCAAATATTGTGTCTGTGGTGTTCTTATTTACTCTACATATTGTGAATTACCTCTGCCTGGTAAAATAACTTCTCTGATCAGAATGGCCAACTTACATTGAAGCTTTGTTCTTGCTCTCAGAACCAATCCAATTATTTAAGGGTACTGATGTACAGTTGAATTGGGTTAAGGGGTCAAGGGTTTGGTAGACAGGGTGGGCTCTGTGAGAAGAGGCTGCCCTGTGTTGGGCACAAATAGCTCCAGTTGGCTCCAGCAGACAGACCACAGTGAATGGCTGAGTCCTCCAGTCATGGGTCTTGATGGGAAGACTTATTAAGGAATGGGCAAAATGTTGCATAAGCAGTGAAGCATGAAGAAAGAAAAAATAGGAGCAACCATGTGAACATCAAGGTCAGAAAAGAAGGAGGAGGAGGAGAAGATGCTCTAGATTCTGTATCAAAGGTTTCCCTAGAGCTCATCAAGAGGACCATGGTGGATCATACAGGTATTTCTTGAAGCAACCTGCAGCCCATGGAGGGCCACAAAGGAGCGAGTTCTGTCAGGAGCTACAGCCATTGGAGATTTATTCTTCAGGTTTATCCTGCAGAATTGCTGCTCATGGAAAGAACCCTTCACTGGAGAAGAAGAAAGGTGTGAGAAGGAAGGAGTAGCAAAGAGCAACAGTTACGAACTGACAACAACCATCCCCTCCCATCTCTTCTGGGCCTCTCAAAACAGGGGAGATGGAGGTACATCAGTAAAGTTGAGGCAAATCTTCTGTAGTTCCTTTGTCTGTGTCCTGGTTTTAAAGCAGTAACTAAAAAAATTACTTATTTCTTGCTGTGAGATATGGATTAGAGCAAGAGCAAAACAGGCTTAAAATTTAAAAAGGAATAAAGTTTATTAACAAACTACAAGAATAAGAACACCAGAATAAACTTCCAGAAAACTTTTTTTATCCCTTACTACCCACCATTCTCTTGTTCACATGACAACAGAGACAAAATCTTTGGAACTTTGGTGTTTAAAACAGTCCCAGTTCTTGCTAGAGTCTTTTCATCAGTCTTTGTAGAGAAACAGAAGTCTCTTTCTGCTAATGTATGGAGTTTTTCCCAAGAAAAACTATTTCTATTATAGCTTTCTATTTTTCTGATGCAAGCTGCCCGGAAATCTTGTCATCAGAAATTCACTCCTCCCATTTCTCATCACTCTGAGGTATGTATGGGCCATGACTCTAGGGATGTCATTTTAAGGATGAGTTATTCAAAGGCAAAAGTCTTCTTCATCTGTCTTTGTGAGCTCCACTGGAAAACAGTTTTCTCATTGCCCAAGGCTTCAAATTTTCGCTTCACTTGTTCCAGCAGTTCACTGTATTACAATTACTCTACTTTTTACTCAAAATCCACACTTTGAACACTCTATTCTTCCCTATATACTCTGTCATGAATTAAAGGAGTTTTTTCAAGACCTTATTGTCCATCTCCATAGCTTTAACAGAAAAATATTTCAGCTTATAAAGTATCTCCTTATTCTCTACCTTTTCTGAAGCTTCTTTTCTTTCCTGT